GTGTACTTGTACTAGGGTCGTGTAGAGAAGCGGAGCGCTACGTTTGTATATCTCGTGGTTTGGAGTCTGAACTGAGCTTCTAATCTCTGATCTCCATCTGGAAGTGGCGGAGCCGCGTGGGGGCAAGAGATTTGGTAGGTGGGTGCTCGGTTCTTTGACAGGGCGGCCCGCCCTCCTTGGGTAATGGAAGGGGAAACACTGATGGGTTTAACAGAACCCCTCTGGACACTAAACCTCAGATAACAATAACTCTAACACACATTAAAGTGTAATCAAAGACCCTTTTGGGCACTTTCATTTTGCCTTGACTCTGCACTGCCTGGGTCGACCCAGCGCAGATCCATACATTTTCCACTGGACGATCCCACCCACTTCAGCTCTGATTTTTGGAACTGAGGCTTCAATCTGAGTGTAGCTGAAGATCTGAGGTCAGCAGACTGCAGGCCTCCTGTTGGTCTGAGAGCAACAGCAGTTCTGAGAGCGTCTCCGTCACAAGAATCAAACCCACTTTTTAAAACCTCGCAGCTGCAGGATTCACTTTAGTTTTTATATGTATACTGTATGTATCAGTATGCATCATCCATATCTTTGTGTATAGATGTAGATGTTTTATGTGTGTATATAACTACTTTCCCTCCTACCCTCCCAATGTGTATTACCTCCTTGTTTTTAATTATAATTGTGAAGTCTTATTATCCAAATATAGTTATTATGGATTATAGTTTAGATTATAGTTATTGTGGATCCAAATGTGTTTTTCTGTGTGTAGATCTCTGGAGCAGGAGCAGTCTCTCAGGAGGAAGGCTGAGCTGGAGTCGGCCGAGTACAAACTCAAGCTGCAAGTCGTCACCAACAAATATGGACAAGCACAACATGAACTGCAGGTATCTGATGGTCACCTGAGTGATCTGCAGGCAGCTGTGTGCTGTCACCGCACGAGTGACGTCTCTGTCGCACCAAACTGATCCTTTTCACCTGCATGGGATGTGTGTTGAAGACAACTTAAAGAAGTGTTAGAAAAAGGAATTAAAACCTTGTTCTTTAGATAATAGAAAATCCAGCTCTGTTTGACTGGACGTCTGTTTTTACAGTAGTGATAGACCAACTGTCCCCACGTTCACTTGTTGGTTGTTGAAGGTTTGGAACCAGAGTCTGTGCACTGGTGATGTGGAGCTTTGAGTCCCGGCTTCTCCCCCGCACACCGTCGTAACGTCCAGTGTTTCCCTGGTGGTTGTCTTTTCCTCCTTTTCACCTGATGCTGACTGGAGTCCTGTTTGGGTTTCTTCTTTCAGGAAGGCCCAGTTAGGATATCCACATTGCTCTAGAGCCTGTTTTGTGTAGGATTTCTCCTTCTGCCTGGCTCCTGTGAACAGTAAACAGCCATCAGGTGCTAATGATCCATTGTTAGGCTGATGGTCCTTCTTGAGCATGTGATCAGCTGGTTTTGGTTGTCAGCAGCAAACTGGTTGATCCACTCTGAGAAGGTGCTATTTAAGAGACTGAGCTGAATACAGCACCTCAGACTGAGGAAGTCCTCAGGATGAGAGACGAAACGTTTCTACGGGGGGGACAAATGCCAAATGCTACTCCTTAGTTTTTCCCATTTCACCCTGTTCTTTTTAATTTTCTTTTCAAAAGCTGTTTTGGTCACATGAATTAAATTAAAGCTGACTGGGTGTCAGGTTAATTCTCCCTCGTCAGTTTTTAGTGAGCTGAAATCTGAGACTTCCTCTTGTTTAAAGTTCTTTGCTGTTTGTTTAAATGGTCCACCTCAAACATCTGTCCTCTCTGAACTGCAGACACCGCACCGCTCGGTTTGTGTTTGGGAGTTTTGTCCTTAGAATGGACCCGTATAAACATCAAGTCAAGGTTCTTTGTCTTTTGCACCACATGTGGTGGAATGAAATTGTGTACGCAGGGTCTCAGTTACATCCAACAAAAGTATAAATTGTAAAGAAAAAGAAACCGTAATAAGATCTAAAATAAGAACTAAGAAATGTACTAAAACTCAGAATACGCCAAACACTAGTAGTACAAAAACAATAC